GCCGGCCTGCGGAGGCCTGCAAGGGGCGGCGAGCGCGGCCCGGCTTCCATCCGCCTTTCCGTCGCCCTCCCCTCGCCCTGTAGCGAGGTGATGTGGTGCCTCTGCATGGAGGGCCCCCTCCCTTGCGGGGATTTAGGTCCTGGCAGGGTTCTCCCCGTGTTCCCAAGGGAGCTGCTGTCATTCACAGCAGCTGGGAGATGGCGTTCGCCGTCGGTTCTTCTCAGTTACGTCTCCTCTGTTTGTCCCGCGTTTAAAGCCTCAAAGCGGTATTTAGCGCTTTGTAGCGAGTAATTTATGTTTTTAATGCTTAGGGAATTAACGGTCACGCTGCCAGCCCTACGGGCGAAGTGGGGCAGCGCCTGCATTACTCCTCAGCCGTTTCTCTCCCAGCAGGATGTTGTGCTGAGGTGGAAGATGGCTCTGGGGGCTCGGCAGGTCTCCCGCTGGTGTTGCCTGCTCAAAACGGCCCGTGCTGCTGAATTTCCTCTGGGGCTGAGGAGCTGCAGCATTACTGCTCATGCATGTCGTGAGTTTGCCCCTCTGGCTCTGCTGCCCTCCAAAAATAACGTTCTGTGGAGACTGCAGGCATACAGACATGTATCTGTAGGAAGCTGTTCTCCACCTGACAGTGCCAAGGATGAATCCTTTTCTTCTCCCGAAAGTAACTTGCCTTCACCAGTAGAACAGGAACAAGCAAAACCAAAAACATTACCTGATCTGAACGCAAAAATACTCTATGAAGGTAAGAGGCCTTAGGGATAGCATTTCTCCTGAATTTTCTAATCCTGCTTTCAGCATTAGTCCTAGTTCTCCTTTTTTGGCCTGTTTGTCTAAAAAATTTATCTGAAGTTCCTGACTTTCGCTTGGTTTTAGCCCCACAGTTAATGCAGAATTCCTGTGGTCACTCTAGCATACAAAGAAGCCAAGATAAGGATGATAATGTTTTAGGTAAAAATGTCAGTCTGGAGCTGCTGTTCGATGCTATTTCATAACTCTACTTGCAGCAGCTGAGCATTTGCCTTTCTCTTATAGATGTGCTGGTACAAAATAAAGGGGTTGGTTTGGTTTTGTTGTGTTTTTTGAGCAAGGGTGGGGTAGGCCACCACTGAAGCAGCTCGCACAACACAACCGTTTGTATCATCAGGGATGAACAACAGGAGGCAGCAGAGTGTGAAGCCTGCTTAAGCACTGCCATGGTGAGAAATGCTCGTCCAGCCGTCTCCTGAGGAAAGGAGTTAGATGCGAAGTCGCCTTGGTGGTGTTGCCCCGAGGAAATTGCCTCACTTTTCTCTATTTTTATATCTAAGTGAAGATACAAAAAATACCACCCTCTGAAAATAATTCTAGTACGCTGAGGAAGCTTGCTCTGGATTACTAAGCAGTCTTGTATGTTCAGATTCTGCTTTAAGCCCTGCCAATTTGGATCCTACAGACCTTATTTTTGGGGTGGCTCAGAGCTGCAACTGAGATCTGTGTGTTTGTGCAGCTGGTTCTGGAAACAGTGCTGCACCAGAACTGACAGGTCAGCCAGCTCATATGTGCCTGCACCTGCGGTGCAGTTTATCTACGTGCCAGATTTTTATCTGCCAGCAGGCTTGCTGTTGTGTATGTGTGTGCAGAGCATTTTGCCCAGTTGGCAGTGTATATAATGGAATAAACAATAATTGCTAACTTTTCTGTTCTTGTCGGTAACTTGAGGTATGTTTCCTCATAGGAGGTCTAAAGAACTTAAAACAGCAAAAAAAGGGGATCTATGATTCCAGAATGGGTCTTGGTGTATATTGGTTCAGTCCTTAATAAGTTCAAAGAAAATGTTTTATATCCATATAGATTCCTACCAAGCGCTTATTACCACTTAAAGTGTAAACCTTGCTAAAAGTGTTTTACTGTGCTTTTGTTCCTGGGGCTTTGAGAAGGATAAGTGGCAGACCTTCAACAGCAATTGAGACAGTCTATGCAACTCTTCCTGGAACATCAGGATCATCTTACTTGCTTTGGAATCTTTCTTGGTAGTTCTGGTGTGGCTTTGTTTTCTTGACGTGGAAGACTGTTACCCTAGTTTCTAGGAAGTCACAGTACAAAAGTACAGGGCACATAAAATCCCCATCCTGAAGAGTTTATAATTAGGGCTGTTGGTCAGCAATCGGTTTGATGATTGAGGTGGATGCTAGCAGCTAGCCTGCAAACAGTAATCTCAGTCCAGCTGCTGTGAACTGTCAATGGAAAAATACATCAGTTTAGAGGAATTTTTTAAATTTTTTTTTTTAAGAGTTCTGTAACTTGGAACACTGAAGGCGAAAGAAGCATAATGATGTTCACTTGGAAAAGCTTGAGGAATAGGAAATAGAGCTTTATTTCTTTAGCTATTAGAGGCGGTGCAGTCAGCAGCCATTCTGTAATGGATAAGACAGGATAGCTTGGTTGGAGTTGGCTGCGAAATACCTTGAAAGTTAGAACAACTGGAGTTCAGGCATTAGATTTGGAAGAGGCACAAAAGTAGTGGGCTTGTCAGATTATGAGAAGTAATCTTTGTAGTAGTGTTTGATCTGGATGTGATCGGGCAAGAATGCGTTTGTGAAGACACGAAAGAGATTCTTTTTCAAGAAGGTGGTGTGATTTGTCGTCTGCAGTGATCAAGGCTGTAGACTGAAGGCAGGCTCGCCGGGTGCCACACTCAGATTTGGCCACATAAGCAAGAGTTGGTGGGCACTGACAGGGGCATGAAACAGAGACAAAAACTGGCTGAGGTTTTGGGATTACAGTCTGTTTTCTTATGTTTTTAAATAATAATAGGTTGGCTGTTCATCTCATGCACAGTGTTCTTGCATTTTGAAATAGATTAAGAGATCTGTATAGCATCCAGTAGGAGCAGCTTTGTCTTTTACAAAATGCATTTGAGTCTTCTATATTTGTTTCTTAGACTGGGATGACGTCCCACCTTCATCTGCTTTGGAGGAGATTTCTGAGGAAGAAGCTGTGCAGATCATTGCAGAACCACTTCTTCCCCTTCAGTCTTCCACACTCCGAGATTATGTTGATCACTCAGAAACCCTGGCAAAACTTGTCCACTTAGGTATGTGTTATTTTGTTTGTGTGGTTTGCCTACATCTGGAGCTTTGAAGATTCTATAATTTGTGTTCTGACCTTACTGGTTGCCTTGTAAACTTGCAAATAGGAGCAGTAACCAACAGCTAAAAGCAGCAGAATGTTTCCAGGGTAAATGAAAGAAAAGAGAGCGGACTGCATGATTCCCTAGCAGTGTTGTATTACTTGAAGATAAGATGGCTATTTTTAGTCCCTTAGTGCTGTGGATGTTAAAAGGAAGCATCTTCCACAGTTTCTCTGTGGAGAGGTGGAGACACAGAGGTGGAGAGTACTTTGTTTAATTTGATTGGTCCTTCTTTTGGGTTCATTAAGGATGTTTTAATTTGCTGCAAAAGAAATTGCAGGTTTCTATCCATGGAAGGAAGGAAGAGCAATTTCTGTGCAGAACCTTACAAGTGGGGTACAGTAAACTGGCGAGGCAAGATAGAAGGAAGAGAACATTCTCATCAAAAGCACTTGCACTGTGCAGGCATTGCTGAGTTCAAGGTTGCTGGCCACCTCCTTGTTCCCCAAAAGTACAAGGAGAACTAGAAGGAGGTTGGAGAAACAGATATTTGAGGGGGAGATCTGGGCCCATGTAGTAACAAATCTCTACACGTGAGCCAGTATCCAAAGGCATTTCACTGCAAAATTGTCCCCTTCCCTTGTATAAAGGAGTTGGGAATTTGTTGCACGTACACTTCTGCGCAACAGGAGTAGGTCTCTACATATGACATAAGCTAGTGTACTTGATTCCCTATATGCAGAATTCACTGCAAATGTCATCTTTCGAAAAATAAACTCAGCAAAAGTGTCTAAAATGACTGCTTGTTTCATCTGGAATCTTTCCACAGTATGCAAGGTGTTGTGACCTTGCTATGTTAAGCAATTTCAGTATACTAAACCAGTGCATAAAAGGAGTAGTCCTATGAATTCCAGCATGCCTTTGTGAAACATTTCTAGGAAGCAGGGTCTGTGTGCAATTACAATAATTTCTAATTTTGTTTGTTGCAGGAGTTGACTTAGCACAAGTGGAGAAACGTCAAAAAGCAGGTCAGCTCTTACTGACCTTAGACTTTGAAAAAGATATAAAAAAAATACTTCTGTTTCTTAAGGATGTGGGTGTAGAAGACAATCAGCTGGGAACATTCCTGACCAAAAATCCATACATCCTTGCTGAAGATCTGGAAGCTTTGGAAACAAGGTAAGCCTTTCAAATAGCAGCAAGGTTTTAAGCCCTTTGGCTTGAAGATCTAGTTTCCCAGTTGGCTTAACCTTGCCTGAACTTGTGTTACTGCTGCTTCCTTTCTCCCTTGATCCCTAGCTCCATGTTCCTGTGCCTTCTTATCAATCAACATTAACATGTGTGACAGTGTAAGTTGAGTCACCACCCTGATCCACCTGAAAATGGATCATTAACTAATTTTACTGCTCATCCCTGTTTCTCTACCACAGAGGAAGCAGCTTGCCATCCTGAGCTGCTTGCTTTACCTGTGTCAGCTTAGATTCTAAAACATTAGTCCCTGAGGCTTTACCTAAAGTTGTGGAACAGTATTAACCTCTTCAGTCATGCTTTGAGACTGCTCTTCTAGATAATATGTCTACCCATACCTTCCAAGTTCTGCAGTAAAAGAAGCAGATCAGATCTCTTCTGTGTTTAAATCTAATAGCAGCAGGTGGTTTTGGTGACATTTTTTTCATTGTTGAGCTCAAACTGAGCACAAGACTACAATGAACTAATTTGTGTGTTTGTTCACACTTGTATGGCCCTACACTGTTTCTCAGGCCATAAAACATACTTTTATTGTTAAAATTACTCCAAACTGGCTTGCATTAATTCAACAGTTCTTTTACAGAACAACTCTTGTGTGCATATGTACACACTTTGTAATGAACTCAAAACATCTTGGTATTTAAAAATTCCAGAAAAGAACGTTTTTCTGCTTGGATTTTGCACGTAGTAGCTGTCCAAGACAGAAATCTGAAAACATGGCTTTTTTGGGAACGGGCACGTCAGTAGACTCAAGTCTAACAGACCCAATTTTTTTTTTTCTTTCTCCTCTGTTCTTCCATCCTCCTTTCAGAAAAATATCTCAAAAGAATCTGTGTCATTTTCCCAGCAATAGTTTTGAGTCTAAATGTCAGAGTTGCTAATACTCTTCTGGAGAGTATTTTTGGCATGATAAGTATTCTAACTCTTCTGTGAAGTCAGAAGTCAGCTGCTTTTCGATGACTGTCCTGTGGCATTGCCTGGTTAGTGAAGTAGAGACTGAACAGGACAATCCAATTTCTTCATTTTCTGCAGCCTGGTTTTTCAGTAAGTTTATCTTTGGCACTGATAAATACTTTTCTACAAGCTTTAAAGTAAGTGTGCTGTGGAGGGTGTATGGCAGGCTGTGGACTGAATGTGTCTCAGATAGCTGTCTTTTGAAAGCCGAGTATCACCTTTGCATAAACACTTTGGTGCAGATGGACCTGGTATTGGTTACATCACTCTGGAATGTTTTATTGCTGTGGATTCCACGTTGCCAGGAAACAAAACACAAATTTCAATAGATTTGGCATTTGACTTCAGATAAACACTGTAAAAGTCAAAACATTCCATAATTCATAACAATTCTGACAGTTGCAAATCAGTGTCTGTACTGCAGCTGCACCAGATGCTTTGTTTTATAGTATTGTTAATGATGACTTGAAACTGTTAACATGCTACATAGAACTGCTGACCCCTGCAGTAGAACAAGGGCTAACCTTGGTGCCAACGCTCACAAATCTATCTCAAACTTTGGTCAGGCTGATTGGCTGTGCTGCTTTACTATATTAGTTTCTAGAGTTCTTCTCTAACCTGTTATTCAGGTTATTACAGTCTTGCCATCCTTCTTTTTAAGTTCCTTGCTTCTCCAGGATGCAAGAAATGCTTCAGGTGTGAATCTTCATACCTTGTTAACAAAAAACAAGTGAAGGGAGGGTCAGGACAATCAAAAGGTTTTATTTTTAATCTGCTTACTTAGCTGTGTTTCTAGGATGCTTGGCACTTGTGCCCTTGAAAAACTGAATGGAAGAAGTATAATGTAGCCAAGCTGCAGCATTCAAAACATAATGGGATAATTTTTGAAGAGCCAATTGTTTATTGTTGTGTTCTGCATTTTCTCCCCCTCCTACCCTTGCTTTGTCTCTGAGGCTCCTGCAGCCAGTTCATCAGCACTGTCTGGAGCCTGTGCTGCTACCTTCCATGTTGGGGTGCCTGCTCAGTTAGGATCTGGTCCTCTAGAGTGTGTTCTTAGATCTTGCATCTAGAGGGTTTTGGCTTGTGATTACCTCATTTTTGAGGGTTTGCGAAAAGAGAGGGAGGGTGTCGTGACTGGAAGGTATTTTTATTTTCTTTCTCTCCACAAGACATGATTTAACACGCAGCCCATTTTTTGCCAAATATCTGCTTCTGCAGAATATTCTGCAACCTATTTAGTATTTTAATTACTGCCAGATAAAATTTGTTCTTGTATACTCTAAGTTCATCTGGCAGCAAATACTTCTGAATATGCTCATCTATAACCAAGGAAACTTCTTCAAATTGTAGTTTGGTTGGCTTTTGGTTTTTGTAGAAGACGGCGTGTGGGTCAATAAGTCTCTTTATTTTGTGTGCTGTGTTTCTGACCCCCTTCCTTTTTCTGGGAGCTATGGTAATAATCTACTGCAAGTAGTACTTGAAATAGGATTTCACTTTCACTGAATTCAGCAAAGTTTAGAAGTTTTGACTTGGAAAGAAAGAAGAAAAGCTCTGTTAAACATAAAACCTTTAGTCAGCTCCTTTTCCTTTCTGACAACCAGATGTTTTGTAACTAAATCCTTGGACTAGTGACTGAAAGTAGGGACCTATTGTAACAAAAGTAACTTCAGCTGATTTAGAAATGTCTTTTTTGACAATGTCTCTACAGATAGCTGTGTAGATGTATGATATTTCTACTCTGGTGCTATTGGCAAAAGAGGGGTGTATATGAGGTACAGTACTCTGTTCTTTCAGAAGTAGAAATGGAATTCATTAAAATAGCAAAAGGTTGTATATATCTTCTTGTCCATACCCTATGATGATCTATTAATGTGTTTCCAATCTAGGAGGCAGGCTGGTAGTTAAACATAGGTTAACATAGTTATCTGCTTAAGCACAGCTGGAAGGAATTAAAATCTGTCTTCAGTATTGACATTTCTGCTCTGAGGTTTATTTTCCTTCTAATTAATTGGAAGGGATGGTATTTTGCTTTTACGATAACTGCAGATTTCCCTCTAATTATTTTTGGCAGGGTTGCATGTTAATGCTAGAACATCTGTCCATTTATAAGATATCACTGAGGAATTTAAGCAAGTACTGAATAAATGGAGGCAATAAAATTTTCATCACTGGATTTTATTTTGTTTTTGTTCTCTTTCTAGAGTGGCTTACCTAAAATCAAAAAAATTTGGTAAGGCAGAAATTGCTCAGATGGTCTCAAGAGCTCCATATTTGCTGTTGTTTTCAGTGGAAAGATTGGATAACAGACTGGGTTTTTTCAAAAATGAACTTGGTCTCAGTGTGAAAAAGGTAAAGACTGTACACTGAAGTCTTCATGTATTTTGTTAGTGACAGCTGTAACACCTTGGAACACGAATACTTCAAGTGTTTGGAGGTTATCCACAAAAACATCAGTGACAATACCTATGGTAATACGGAGGGCTAAAAGAGGATAACATGATTCTAACTGTCTGTAGAAGCAATATGGACATCTAACATTCAAAGGTCCTGAAGTACAGTTCTTGAAGATGATCTGCTGCAGGTTATTGTCAAACAAGCATGTGTGTGTCCAGTTTTATTATCTGAGGTGGGTCAGAGGACCAAATCCATTGCTGAAACAGCAAGCAGCTTTTTTAACTTCTAGAAAATTAATTGGCTCTCTTTATCTCTTCAAGATGCTGTAACATACTTAACGCATTGGTCATTAATAGTCTGATCTGCAAATATTGTATCAAACTAAATGCCAAATCACATGCTCAGCTCACCAAAAGTAGCCCCTGTGTTCACTTGTGAGTGCTTACCACCTTGCATGCTTAGCAGGTGTTTAGCACCATGCTTTGGGATCTTCAGAGGAGGTAGTACCTGGAATTCTGGGAATAAGTGGGCACTGTTAGTTGTTTCCTGCACTTGCTGGGGATTGCAGTGAATGTCAAGTTCCAGGTGGAATCTAGTGTTCTTCTATTGGCTTCTATTAGCTGAACAGTCACATAGCTGTCATAGTGCCTGTTGCTAGCCTTTCCATGCTTGAGGTAAGAGATCTCTCCGGAAAAGGGTTTAGTCACTGCCTTGCACTTGGCGTGGATTACAAATAATCACACAGCTTAGGGTTTGTGAAGTAATTTCTTGTGTTGCCATAATACTATGGTTAAACCAGACCCTGAGATAGACAAATTCCACTGCAGCTGAAAAATCCTTTTATAGCCTCTATTGGGAAGTATTTTGTTTACTTTTTTTTAAAAAAAGGTGGGAAGAACAACTTGAGCACTGAGAGAGATTGGGCAGTTGAGCATACTTTCTGGTTTTGGATTAGGCTTTTACTCCCTTTTCTTGTCTCTTTTACAACAGTTATGTTAGTTTTTGTTTTCCAAACATATTTTTGCATCTTAACATACTGCTGCTTAATGGAAACTCATCTTTGGGGTAGAAATAAAATGAAATGTAAGTGAAAGTGAATCCTCTTCTGGCTGGGGGAAGCAGGAGGGAGGTTTGTATGAGATCTCTATCTTTTGTTCACAGATTCACAAGCAAGCTTTCAGTAATAATCTTTTTTGTGTGTGTTTTCTCTGACTGTAGACAAAGGATTTGGTAATCCGTCTTCCAAGGCTTCTGACTGGCAAATTAGAGCCTGTAAAAGAAAATCTTCAGGTGAGCTTATTAATAGAAGTGTACTGCGTATCCACATATTTCAAGAGTTGTCAGAAGATAAAATTCCTGGAGGAGAGTCCTGCCCAGAAAAAATTAAGTGAAATCATTTTAGTGGGGATATAAAATAACTGAGGATTTTGTTAAATAACGTATTTTCCTCTATAGCTTGCAAGCTTATAGCATACATGGAGCAGAATCTTACTCTGTTCTCTACTCTGAGGTAGCTTAGAGTCCCTTCCTGCCAAAATTGCTATCTGATGACACAAATTGTTACCCATTTCTTTACAATGAGTGGGAAAAACGGGGCCTGCTCCCTTGGTTTTTGGTTTTTTTGGTGGTGGGGTTTTTTTCTCTGCCCCTCCCCCCCCCCCCCTATTTT